TGCAGTGTTGGTACATTGTTTGCATGAATAATTGAACCAACGTAGAGCCTAAATCCATTTGCATCTGAATAGACTAGTGAAGGCGACTGAAATAAAAGGGTAGGATTAATAAATTTTAGATTAGGCAGGCACTACATGTATATCAATAGATATAAGGGCTTAACTTATTCAATACTGTCTCTGCCCAACATTAGACAGTATATATACTCAACTCTACTGATTAGAGTATCTATGGCCTCTGGCTGACCCAGACCTTCTGCAGAGGGTCTGGACCAGCCAGACTAGTAAATGCCTATCTTTTAATCAATGTGTATACATACTGTACTTTGTCTTTGAGGAAATCTTTAGAGTCTCCTGGAGGGAAAAGCTTGTCCCTTAGACTCTGTAACTCTCTCTCTTCTTTCTCTCCCATAGGCTCCCCTTCCCTTCCAGCAGAGAGACTCGTTCCATTGCTCCAGGGAAGTTCACTGGAACTGCTTGCTCCCATTTTGAGCCACACCTACTTTGAAACGCCCACAAGCAACAATTAATTAAAATGTTATTGTGAACTGAAAAAACAATAATTTTTATCAGCAATAATTAATTTAATTTAAATATATAATAATTATAATATATGGTGTGCAGCGAATTAATGTGTGATTCTTCTATCAAGATTTCCCCAGCACCTTCTTTTGTTTTTCTTCTTTTAATTGCTTCTGAAGGTTAAACAAGTTTCTCATGAAAGTAACATTAGGACAAGCAAGGAGTCTGTTACTGTGGACTTGTCTTGCAGCCTCTGATAGCGTCATATTACAACTACAGAAATGAATCAAAATAAAACAACAATGAATCCACTACTGAAATTTGCAACTTGTACATATAGTGTACATTATTCATTATCAGCCATTGCTATAGACTTTGTTGTCATATTTAGAATTGCTGATTTCATAAGTAAGCGGGCAGGCAGTTTAATTAATTATTATGATTAATGGTAGAACTATTTATGTATAGCTTAATAATCATTTATTATCACCTGTATAAACTGCATGAATTACGTCTATCCATAGACATAGGAATGGCCCCCCCAACTTTTCAGCAAGAGGGGCTTAGCCCCCCCCCCCATGTTCACATGCTAAGTCATGCTTTTTAATGTTGAGCCCCCACCCCCAACTTTTGAATCATTCCTAAGCCTATGCTATCCATGCAAACCACATCAAAACCAGATTCATCAGTGCAGGCAGGAAATTATGAATCAAACTGCAGTGACCTTATAAGACTAACATACTCGCCCCAATTAACACACCTCTTGATAAATGGTACATGTCTCAGGTGGTGAATTGTTTAGATAGGAACAATTATGAAATGTTCCAGGAGGTGCTTGTTAGGTGCTTAGCTAAGTAGGCTATACACCTGTAAACAACGGTCAAAGGGACTTTCTAATTACAACCCACATCTCAAAAATAATTATCTTGACCAGGAGGTGCACTCAATAGAAAGTTTTATTGTGGAAGCCTTGTAGAGGTGCAATAGCAGCAATAATTAGGAGGGTGTGTTAATTGGGGCAAGTATGGTAATTTTTAAAATGAATAAAAATTGGAGTGATTTTGGAGCCACTTTTCAGAAAAAATCATGGGCTAGTAAAGGGTATTTTCAGATTTTGGCCAATTTCAAAAAATTGACATAACTCGAAAATTTGCAGTCGAAATCAGCTCAAACTTTCTACATAGCATCAGTACATCAATATGCATCAAAAACGTAATAAAAATTGAGGGTGATTTTGGAGCCATTTTTTGGGAAAAACCATGGGCTATAGTACAGGGTATTTTTCAGATTTTGGCCAATTTCAAAAAATGGACATAACTTGAAAATTTGCAGTTGGACTCAGCTCAAACTTTCTACATAGCATCAGTACATTAATATGTATCAAAAAATGTAATAGAAATTGGGGGGTGATTTTGGAGCCGTTTTTTGGGAAAAACCATGGGCTATAGTACAGGGTATTTTTCGGATTTTGGTCAATTTTAAAAAATGGTTATAACTTGAAAATTTGTGCTCAGAAACTTTCTACATAGCATCAGTACATCAATATGTACCAGAAAATGTAAAAAAAAACTTGGGGTGATTTTGGGGTCATTTAGGAAAACAAGACCTCAATCATGGCCTTTGGTCAAATCTTAAAGTATCAAAGTCATAAAAATTCTATTTTGATTTATTTATGATATCTATCCCCTTTATCATTGTGTTTGCCAAATGCATGCTAAAGAATAATTCACAATAAATACAATCCTCATGTTCTATGACTCCAGAACACATTAAGCATATACACATAATGTAAACAATCATTGCCACATGCCTTACACTCTGCCCATGAGCTGCTCCATGTATAGCAAACAAAGCCAAGAAATCAAAACATTTCATTCTAATACTATGTTTATAATACAGAAGTGGATTAAACAGGTTGAACTGGCTCTGCTGTCTGTACAAACCATGCATGCTGGCTCAGCTCAGTTGGGCAACTTTAAACTACCAAATCAAATTGTGCTGACCCACTTTAAACAGTTTAAACTGTTACAATGCCAATATTAACATAGTATAAGGCAACCAGCAAGCATACACACATTACATGTATGTTTGTGCACACAGAGCTAGCTAATAGTACTTTTTAGAGACTACATGTACCATAATTACTATATATGACTATAGATTAGTACAGGCTTACATCAGTTTTAACACCGTATAGCTGGAAAAGTTTGCACGAAATATATTTTGCGATTTCGTACTAAAAAGCAAATTTTAATGCACGCGGAATTTAATTTGCTGGTGTAGACGTAAACTGTTGATACACCCATTACTTATAATGCTTTGCGGAATTAAACTGTGCATTTTTATGATGAACAACAAACAACAAAATTAAATTCCAAAAAATATTTCCAGCTATACAGTAGTCTATAATAACTAATGCCAATGACATTTAATGGGATACAAAAACATAAGTGTAAGATTTATAAATAGGGACCAAGTCTACTCTTGATAGTTGATAACTGTAAAGGCTGGTTCACAATATTACGCTAGTCCTGACGTTACGTTGATGCTAGAATCAAATCTGGTTCAATTCCAGCGGAAAGCATGCATCAAAAGGTCAAATTGCCCACACTTTTTGATTAAAAATTGATGGTACGTTGGCTTAGCGTCATATTATGAACCAGGCTTAAGTCTCGATCTTTATCCACTGTATAGTATGGGTAGTGTATACATATGGGACTAATACCTTATAGCTGCCAGGATGTTTATGTCTACACATAGTAATTGGAGATATTAGGATAGTAATATACTATAATAACTCAGTCATAATACGCTATAATAATCTTTCTCTATCTCTCTCTCTCTCTTCCTGTATCCTCTGTTTCTACAAGAAGCTCTCTCTCTCTTTCTCTTTCTCTTTCCCTCTCTCTCTCAGCTCTCTCTCAATATTATTCTTACTATTTCATTAAGAAAGCAACAGATACAGTGACTGATCTACTCACTCCAGCCATACAGTGTACAAACACTCCAGCTCCTTCCTCCTTCCCTTTATCAATAAAATCCGTTACTTCATCAAAATGCTGAGAGAGATCATAAGACTCCATGTCCTCAGCAGTGATGAGTAGAATGGTAATACTTTCACCATACAGCTCCTGTGAAGTCATGAGAGACCCAGCGGCCATGTTGACAATACGGGATATACCCAACTCGGTAGACATGGCAGATCCTGAG